CTTTAAAGGCCCTTTTATCTTTTAATAATTGTTTCCTTGTTTCTTGTGTAACTTGCTGATCTGCAATTTGTCGCTGATGTCTTCGAGTTTCAAGGTAAACTGAAAAATGACAGGAAGCTATGCAGGCAACAGATAGTAACATTATTGTATTATCGATCATAACAAACACAGTCGTATTTTCAACAAGGGGAAAACAAACGTTAAGAATGAGGGGCAACAGCCAAGCCAGGGCAGAGGCAATGAGCAGATTACTTTCTTTGCCAAGAGAGATGTGCACAAATGGATGTTTGATGGCTAAATACCTTTCTCCACTTATCAGCAACAGATGAAGAATCGACACGCCAACGAGCAGGTTTATCAGAAAGCGCAACGCCATTAATGGGCATAAATCACTGTAATAGTTGACTAAGATTGATATCAGCCAAGCGATGAACACGTGCTGAGCAAAACTTGCAGCTACAAAATCAGTGGTAGCAAGCAGAGCGATCGCGATATTGGACTTGTGGGCTCTCAGTCGTCGTTTAGTTTTTACGGCGATCATCACCAACGCATTCAGGACAGCAGTGAAAGGAAAGGTAAAGATGTTGATGTTTATATTCAAAATAAGGCAAACTTGAGCAAAAGGAGAAGGTTTTTCTAGTCTTCCTCCCAAGATAACATACATCCGACATTCGTGGTGCATCAATTCACTTGCGTTCATGCCGGACGGCTTCTCAGATTTACCTGAATTCAGTTGGTGGGTTGAGAACTGTTCACCAAATTAATATTCTCTCTGTGGACCTTCTACTCTTTGTTTTAAGATGGTCGTGTCACATGCACTTATCACAGTCTGGGTGTTTTCCATGATTTTGTTTTTTACGCATAAATTTTTAGTGTTTGAACTATATGTTTAGGGCCTTTAAGAAAACAGTTTCTTTTAGTGAAGTTCCGTATGCCATCATCATTAAGAAACAATCTGCCTTAACTGCAAAAACTTGATGTGTGGTTTAAAATGGTTTTCTATCCGAGTTCCGTCGGCAAGGAATAGTCACGAAAATATTTTTCACTTTTTAGCTTTTTTTTCGGAAAAAAAGGAAAAAGAAAAGGAGAAAAGAAACCAAAACAGTTGTTTAAATAGCCTTAGAAAACATCAATAATTTAAAAGCGCTGTTAAGTTTGAGTTTCATTTAAATCACCTATATTCACTTATAAGCAACGTTTAGGAAAAGTTATTGTGTTTAAAATGACTGGCAATTTAGTCAATTAAGCTAAATGTTAATTCAGCGTGTTCAAAAAAATTTCAAAATCTACGTTGCATTTTGCCAACAATTTCCTGACTACGATTCGATATTTCCAGTGAAAGAAACGTACATTCATATATCACAAGAACTACATATAGGAATTCCTTCCTTTTGCCCTACTGCAGGACAAATGTGAGTAAATTTTCACTTCCTTTTTCTCTTAATGATTGTGTGTACATTTTCGCTTCTTTCGTTTTTTTTTTCTTTCGCATTTTGCATTTTTTTTTTCTCACTTTTTCTTTTTTGCATTGGCGCGTCTAGCCTTATCCATTTTTATCCTATTTAAGCATTATTTTCTATGTTACAAAGAAATTGAATGTGTTTAGTTAAATTGTTTTGCCGATGCCAGTATATGTTATTTCATATTTTGGTATAATAATAATAAAATCAAATAAAATAAATGTTAAAAAAATATATTCTCTTAGTGATGTACAGTGTTTTTGCGGAAGACTCGGATATCATTCTTCTGTAACTGATTTTTTTTCTTGTCCTGCTCTTTAATTTATAAAGAAAATACAGAGGAAATTAATGTTTAATGAGTGTTTAGAAATCAGATGAAAAACTGCTCATTTTTGCATCCTTAATTTCTCCTCCTAAAATCATTTTCTAATAACGGAGGTTTTATAAAAACAGTTGAGAATAAAAATAAGCGATAGCAGTGAATGACGTTTCGATGACTCCATGTCATCCTTTTTAAATTCGTGTAGTTCTTGATTCCGTGAGTTCATTATATAGGGAGTTGCGTGCGAAAGTTTAGTTGCATGTGATTAAAAGAGAAAAATACAATATGAAGTGTAAACGGAGCTAATTATCAGGTTAATAGTTTTAGTGTGCTAGAGTCAGATTGCCAGGGTGTTCAGTTTAGGTTTGTTTTCTTTGATAAAGAGCATTTCGTAAATATAGCAATCCAGCTTTCCACGGCATTTCTTCAGGATGGTAAATTGGTCACGTAGATCGCGATAGATTTATGATAATAGTAATAAAAAAATGAATATACCCGTTTATTTACCACATTGCAGAATTAACTGAATTAAAGGGCTATAAATTAACAATCAGCAAATAATTAACACTACTACTACTATAGAAACAATAAAAATATCTTAAATAACTATTTACATATTTACATATTTGAGCGCTGGGTCCGGCAACAACTCCTATCAGCGTAAACAATATTTTTATTGTTGTCGCTGGTCCTCAAGTTGTAACTATGACCACTATTTTCTAGTTGCTGTTCTCGGCTTGAGGAAGTTAATGGGGTGGTCATTTTGATTCACCTTCTGAATATATTTACAGCAGAGCTGAGTTCGTCTTTCTTTCAAGCTGCCAAGGTTGGTAGTATTAAGGGCATCTAAGTAACTATGGCATGGATAGATAATATATAGTGCCCTTTTTTGAATTGACTCCAGCTTGTTTGAAAGAAATGCAGGAATATCTTGCCAGACTTGCACGCCATATTTTAGTATAAGTATATTATTGTTGTCAAGTTAACTTTGAGAATTCTCTCTCTACTAACATCCACTTTTTTAAGAATCCTCAGGGAATACAGGCGTCTCGAAGTTTTTTTCGATATGTAATCAATATGCTCGTTTCACTTTAAATCATTACTGATAATAATACCGAGTAATTAAAAAGTTGTTATACATTCAACTGTGTTGTTACCTAGGACAATTGGTCTTATAGTAAAATTCTCACTTTACAAAGTGATGATTTCTTTGGGTTTCAGCGCACTTTTATTTATTTATCCGATAATAGATTAAATTACTACCTTTCTTCAAGCCTCAGCCTTTCGTTCTCCGGAGGCCTAGCGATTCGCATTTCATTTTCTTCCTCTTCAACGAGAGTTGTAGTTCCACAAGTTATAATGTCGATGAAATCGACGCGAAACTTCCTTAATCGGACAGCGTAAATAATTGGATTAATAAAAGAGTTTAACAAGTTTATCGAAGTGATTGAAAGGAAAAGCATATATTTCTCTTCTAAAGGAACTAGGCTTGGAAACCTAGTTATCACTATTTTAATAACGATCATTGGTAAAGAGCACAGAAGTATCGCCGCAACAATCAGAGATGTAGCTTTAAAGGCCCTTTTATCTTTTAATAATTGTTTCCTTGTTTCTTGTGTAACTTGCTGATCTGCAATTTGTCGCCGATGTCTTCCAGTTTCAAGGTAAACTGAAAAATGACAGTAAGCTATGCAGGCAACAGATAGTAACATTATTGTATTATCGATCATAACAAACACAGTCGTATTTTCAACAAGGGGAAAACAAACGTTAAGAATGAGGGGCAACAGCCAAGCCAGGGTAGAGGCAATGAGCAGATTACTTTCTTTGACAAGAGAGATGTGCACAAATGGATGTTTGATGGCTAAATACCTTTCTCCACTTATCAGCAACAGATGAAGAATCGACGCGCCAACGAGCATGTTTATCAGAAAGCGTAACGCCATTAATGGGCATAAATCACTGTAATAGTTGACTAAGATTGATATCAGCCAAGCGATGAACACGGGCTGAGCAAAACTTCCACCTACAAAATCAGTGGTAGCAAGCAGAGCGATCGCGATATTGGACTTGTGGGCCCTCAGTCGTCGTTTAGTTTTTACGGCGATCATCACCAACGCCTTCAGGACAACAGTGAAAGGAAAGATGAAGATGTTGATGATTATATTCAAAATAAGGCAAACTTGAGCAAAAGGAGAAGGTTTTTCTAGTCTTCCTCCCAAGATAACATACATCCGACATTCGTGGTGCATCAATTCACTTGCGTTCATGACGGCTACTCCGATTTATCTGGATTCATTTGGTGGGTTGAGAACTGTTTACCAAATTAGTATTCTCTCTGTTGACCTTCTACTCTTTGTTTTAAGATGGTCGTGTCACATGCACTTATCACAGTCTGGGTGTTTTCCATGATTTTGTTTTTTACGCATAAATTTTTAGTGTTTGAACTATATGTTAAGGGCCTTTAAGAAAACAGTTTCTTTTAGTGAAGTTCCGTATGCCATCATCATTAAGAAACAATCTGCCTTAACTGCAAAAACTTGATGTGTGGTTTAGAATGGTTTTGTATCCGAGTTCCGTCTGCAAGGAATAGCCACGAAAATATTTTTTCACTTTTTAGCTTTTTTTTCGGAAAAAAAGGAAAAAGAAAAGGAGGAAAGAAACCCAAACAGCTGTTTAAATCGCTTTAGAAAACATCAATAATTTAAAAGCGCTGTTAAGTTTGAGTTTCACTTAAATTAACTATATTCACTTACACGCAACGATTACGAAAAGTAATTGTGTTTAAAATGACTGGCAATTTAGTCAATTAAGCTAAATGTTAATTCAGAGTGTCATTTGCGCGTCTAGTCTTATCCATTTTTATCCTATTTAAGGATTATTTTCTATGTTACAAAGAAATTGAATGTGTTTAGTTAAATTGTTTTGCCGATGCCAGTATGTTATTTCATAATTTTGATGAAATAATAATAAAATAAAATAAAATAAATGTTTTAAAAATTATATTCTCCTGGTGATGTACAGTGTTTTGGGGGAAGACTCGAATATCCTTCTTCTGTAACTGATTTTTTTCTTTGTTGTCCTGCTCTTTAAGGTCTCCTTTAAGACAAGAAAATAAACAAAATTTGATCAAAAGAAAAATGTTACTCGAGTCAAGAGCAAATCACTCTACATCGCCTACTCGTTCCATCATTTGGCAAGTAATATCTTAGCCGATAAACTGTTCTAAAATGCAACGAACAAAGCCTTTCTTGAAAGTACTTGAAAACGCTAAGCTAGCTTTTAGCTTAATTGACTTTACTGCCAATCATTCAAATCACAATCACTGTTCACAAACGTTACGCATATTAAGTGAATATAAATGATTTGATTTAAGTTCAAAAATAACAAAAAACCAAGCGCTGAAGCAAACCGAGAATTTTGAATTAATAATATTTTCTATGCCTATGTTGATTTCTTTATGAAGCGTGCTGCGTGAGCTTCGCTTCCTCCGTCCTCTCGTCTGGCCCTTGAACCTTCTGTTCATCTGCGTGACAACGAGTTGAACGAGTTGCAAAGTCAGTCGTTTTCTGCTTCTCTCGCGGTTCCCGTGAGGCCGGAGCCAATTCCATCCTCTCTCCTTCCGCTGGTGAGTTACCTTTTCCTGCTGCCAAGTATCCTGTTCCAGCTGTTAATGCTGAGTTTTCCGATCCACTCCTAGGGTAATCCACTTCCCACTGTATGAAAACCTCAGGATTCAAATAATTTTCTTTTAAATGAAGTTTTACTAAAAGTTGAAAGAGGGAACATTTGTGGTGCTGTATATCTGGATCAGCTTACAAAGGCGTTCGATACTGTCGATCATGAGATCTTGATGTCCAAATTGTCATCAGTTGGAGTCTCCCCCCGGTCTTTGCAGTGATTTTCTTCTTACTTGACTAATCAGAAACAGCCGAAACCCCTTGAGAGAATGAATTATCCGAAGCTCTTTCCGTTACTTTCGGGGTTTCACAAGGAAACATCTTGGGACCGTTATTCTTTCTTATGCATATCAACGAGCTACCTGCTGCTATTGAATACTCCGAGGTATCATTGTATGCTGACGATACTTTTCTTTAATGCTTCGCAAAAGAACCTCAGCAGCTGGAGAGCAAGTTGAATGCATATCTCTACAACTTAAAAATACATTGAACCTTTCAAAGACCAAATCCACGTTAATCAGAAGCAATAGAAAACTTAGTTAATATTTCCTCATTGCCCCTATCTATTTTTTTTTGTGAATAGATAAAGTAAATAGGTTAAATTATTTAGAGG